GAAACTCCACTGAAGGATATTTAAGCTAGTCAAATAGCATCCATTGCTGACCCTTTGGATGCTATATAATACGTCACATGAATTCGAAAAAAGGAGCGTAATCTTGAATTTCGCTGCACCCACCAGTTAGTTCACATTCTTTCTTCCAAAATGTTAGAAAATATGTCTACTTTGAATTTCTACCTGTTGCCAGATCTGCAATTTTCGTGAAACAGATGAAATTTTATCATCTTTGAAAACCACTCAATTTTTTAAACCTCATCAAATTGAAAACATGCTACTTCGGTACTTATAGATTGCATTCCTATTTTCATACCCAAGTTATTTTCTTTCAAAATAAAAGCTTGCATAATATACATTGTCACCAAACATTGCAGCAATAATTTACCACTAATGGAAGCCTCTCCTCATGAAAATGGTACACATGGGTGGCCTCAGAAGGGTTTTTGTTTTGGCTCACGTCTTTTACTTTCTTTAAACGTCTACTCATAATGAAAAGCTCTCGCCAATTTACGAGCAGAAATATTTTGGGACAGATTTTTTCAATGTGTATATCGTTTCATTGTTCTAGTAAAAACTTGTATTCAGATACCAATGTAACACAGCCAGCAAGCATAACTGTGTGTCAAATCTGTATTGTAAGCTTACTACAAGTGAAGAAATCTTCTTTATGGGTTATCTTATAGTGGGATAATACTCTCAACCTGTCTGGTTGTACCCCCTTTGTTTACTCGCATGTTTCTTAACCCTTTCCACATGGGTCAAAGGCCATGTCAACTAGTTTGTTGACTCGCATTCAGAATTTTATTGAACTACTATTTTATGAATTTGTCCTTTTGCATCTACATCCTTTTTCTTCAGTGAAAAGTGAGAAATTGGACATAAGAGACAATGGTTACAAAATGTTTTACATATTGTTTATGATCAGAGAACAGTACTACATTCTATTGATGATTATAATTTGCTTGCAATAATCAAGACATTTGTGTTAATAAATTATATATGTATTTTAAATATAATCCCTAGCCAATGGGCAACAAGTAAAAGCAAACGTTTATTATACTCTTTTAAATTCCTGACAAACATAATTCCCATTAAATATATTGGTGACTAGCCTGTAGAAAGTTTTAAAGTACTACAGAGTGTGCAAGTAAGAGTTATAAAATGTACCATACAGTGCATAATATACAAAAATTATGCATTTATCATTTACTAGAAAATGTTTAACTTCACTTAATAAATTCAGTATTAGTATTGTAAATAAACTGGACCTGGCAACAGGAAGAAATTAAAAGTATACATATTTTCAAACACAGTGATACCACGAAAATGAAATGAATGGTGGGGTGGGTAACACATCCAAAATTTTTGGGGCTTATGTGATGGACTACCAATCAATCAGTGGGATTTAATGTTATTCTTTTAATGCATCTACAGTCCTTAACTGAGAGCATGAATTTGGAGCAATGGGATGCATACCGTAGACTCTCAGATTCACAGTCCACCACACTAACCACTAGGCCATGGCCATTTTGCCGAGTCTTCATTTTCTGAACTTGTTTATTTTGTTTAAGACTTATTGTCTTCAGTGTTGTTTTTATAACTTCACTTACATTAGTGTTTTCTTAACATTTTTACTAATCAGTACAATAAGTGAATAGGATAGGCACATCTGAAAAGTGGTTTTATTCAATATTACCTACAGCTTTATCATGGAATGAAAACTTCCCATTAATATCACAAAAACAAGAATAACAAATGTATGGTGGTAACATGTGAAACAACACGTACTATGGAAATGACTCAATATCCATAGACACACAGTTTGCTCTTGGGCAAAGCCTCTGCCATAATAAGAATTCAGATATAATCATCAATAGTCATACTGTTTTAATTATGTGTAAGAATATGAAGAATGCCAATCCCAGTAATCTTTTTCTCTTAAAACAATGACTTGTATTTAAAAACAATAACATTGATTTATCAGCATAACATTATTTAACTATATTTCATCAGTACACTATAAAATTAACACCTTTTCTGTATAGTAGAACTATACAAATGTAATAATAGAGTTCATGAAAGTCAAAACAAGCAACATTTTTAGGAACCAAACATGAGTACTAACAAGACAATCTGAAAATTTAATAATCAATTTACAAAACAAAGTTCACAAAATCAGAACGTGTAATTTTATTCTTATTTTTTAATAATTTTTTTAACTTAAAGTTCCAGTAATACTTATTTTGAAACATAAATTGCCGACATTGTTTCTCATTCCAAAGCTTTCATATTTAATAATTTTCAATTTGTTATAATCCACAGTCAACAAATCAATTTCTTTTATAAAAATATTCTATATCATCTTATAATCCACACATGCCCATCTAATTAATTATCATGATTAATAATAAATAATTAGATGCACTACAACCTCAGGTCATGCTTTTTTTTAGGATGATTAAATACAATTAATAATAAACTCTGCCTGACAACAGGTAAATAGTCATTAAGTAAGAAATATAAACAACAAATTCCATAAGCTTTACGAAGTCTGATGTAAAAAAAAATGTTCCATATGAATAAAAACAAGTATTAATAAACTTCCATGGATTGTATGGTTGCTAATACACTATCATGCAGCATACCTATTAAGATATTTCCAATATAATTCCAAGCAGGTACTAAAAATAATTATGTTAATACATCTCAGTAAGCTTTTTTTTAACCTTATATTCAATATTTTATATACAGAGTTTCTTAGGTACGTAGGATTAGCTGTCCATTATATTGCTGAATAATTCAACAGGGATGATGAACGGTATTTTATTACATATAGTTAAGAAAGCTAAAACAAACTATATTAATACCCATTAAATCATGTCAGAAGTAAAAATTATTGAAATGTTATAGCATTATTGGTGCCTTATAAACAGTAAGTTGAAAATTTTAAATAATTCTGACCTATCTATACTCTCTCTCTAAAGCACAAAGTTACCCATGGCTGAAATTTAATCAACTTCAATATGTTATCTAATTATTGTGTGTTCATTCAATTTGGTTTTAACAAAATAACTACAAAAAATAGGGGAGATTTTAAACAGCTGTTCACTTTTCATACTAAAATATTCTTTATGAGAATATACCACAAAACTAAAAAGAAAAGTGATAACATTACTCATCCTGAAGTTTTCAGTTGTTTTAAGACTCAAGATAAATTATTATTTAACAAAATGTTAGATCTGAAATAAGGAAAAAAAAAAAAAGGTAATAAAAAGTAATAATTATTTTACCTTAGTTTCTGTTGTGTAATCACATAAATACTATCATTTACACAGCATTCACTGAAGTTTCCACTACTGGAAATAAATAACACATGCAATTTAATTTATAAGGAATGACTAACATTTTATAAGAACTAGTTAGCCACATTTTACATGCTGGTTGTATACAGTCAGTGAAATAGACTGAATTCATAAAATTCGTAATACAACATCTAAGTCCTAGACATCTTTTAAAAGTATCCATATGACACTGTACCAAAAAATTATTGTTGAAAAAACATGACAAAAAAATACAAAGACAGATGACTCATGACTAAAAAGTGATCTGTGTGCATTATTCTCAGTTCCATTAGTGTAAACAAGAAAGCCAAAATCTGATCATGATTGATGGGATAACAGAATGTTTTACCCACCCAAAGTATTAACAATATGCTTACAAAAAATGGTGTCAATTTCAAACAGTTGTTGCATGCACAATTAATACCTTTTCAGCCACCAACTAATATTTGTAGATAAAACTTAGTTTTTATACAGTTACAAAATATCACTCCAAAAAGAGAACATTAACAATAAAACTTGCATGACTATGTTCAATATTAACTAGTTCTAAGTCACAAAACAGTTAATACACATTTTGATGTTATATTTTTGTATTAAGCACAATATCTAACAGTTAAGACTTGTACATTTAGTTACTCAAGAATAAATATACCCACCAACATTAGATGTGGCCAATGGGTTATCAGAGCAAGTAGGAATATTATATTTTATTTTCAAATTCATGCTATTTTAGGTGTTTTTGTTATAAAAGCAAACACACCAAAACACTTCCATTACTACATCAGTATTTATAGAACTTTTTTAGAAGTTCATGCAAAACTACAAAAAGACTATCTGCACTAACAACCTAAAGTTTGAGCTAATAGATTAGAGGGAAGGTAGCTTGTCATCAGCACACACCGACAACTCTTGGGCTACTTTAATCAAACACTGGAATTTGACAGTCTTTCTTATAATGAACTTATGGTCCCAAAGTGTAGACAGTGTTTTCGTGGCAATGGAACATGAAATATTTACCACCAGATTCATAGTCCAGCATAATCATGCTTAACTTATGGAACTGTTGTGTAATGTATTCTGGTCCAAACTACACAACATTAGAGCCTTAACTAAGTTCAAAAAAAATATCCTGGACTTCTCTTTCATTAGGTTCATATTTACTTCAAGTACAATTATGACAAAATATTCCGAATTAATTGTAAATAAATAAATTTTTAGTTCTAGTAAGTCATTTTAACACTAGATATGATAAAGTTTACACATTAAATTTTTAATTTTTTTTTATCGCATGTCAGACACATTTCCTCTTACTTCAGAATAAGTGGTCCCCCAACTAAAAAAAAAAAAGTATTAATTCAATGTGTCCATCAAGACAAAACAATATATTTGACTTTAGATAAAGCTGCTATGCTATAGTTTTAGGTACCATAAAAGGCAATTCTAAAGATATCTTATGATGAGCCAAACAAATCTTTCAAATTCTATACATGTATAGAAAATGACATCAGGGTAATAATAGTAATCATTTCATGGATAATATGTTGTTTTCTATAAAAAGAATACACGTTTATTACTATATACAAATTTTTGTTCCATTATTATTTGAAATGAATAAAAAAACAAAATTTTAAATAGCTGCTCCATGGTGATAAAAAAAGCTATGAACGTTAAATAAAATAATAAGAGAAAAAAACTATAAAAACAATTATGATTTTTAATAATACAAACTTTAAACCTCAGAATGTTTGTATTAGTACAGTTATTCATTTTATACTTGGTCTACAAAATATACGTACGTTCAAGATTGGGCATATGACTTATTTTTTCTTCTTAGTTGCATTAACCGAATCAAAATAATGCAAGTTAGATGAACAAAACCACACCAAAAAACAATTTGGGGTTCCTCTCCAGCTTTATGACAACAACGAAGTTAGTGCTGCATCAGCACCACCCTTTTGACATTGTGTACTACATATAAATTAAATTATTGGTAATTATACCAAACAATTATTTCTTTAATAACATGTCAATATTATGAAGTTACATTGTAAAAAAAAATCATAGTTGCTAACTGCATAAAATTGGGAGATATTATAATACAGCACCACAGTGGCGTAGATACAGGAAGGGGTGGGGGGCATTGTCTCCCTGGTCAGAATTATACTGATTAATCGTAAGTTTTGGCATCTGAAAATTTATATAACACGAAATATTAAATGATTTAAGCATGCATTACTTTCCCTTCAATTTTTTAATAACAAATCTCATATTAACATTATATTATTATTACAATACAAAAGCTATATGCACATTCCTGAACTAGTCCATCCAAAGTGCACACTTAGCAAAACATTTGACAAATGCACCCCTCATCCCCGAAGTCATAACAGGACTTACTATTAATGACATACACTTATAGCTTCAATCTCGTGCAGTATAATTTGTTCCAGATGTCACGTGCTTCGTGTACTTGAGTATCATGTGTTTACTTGCAAGTTGCATACATTATAATATAGATCTAGAACATTGTTTCAAGACTGAAGTTAAAGATCTGGTGTAACAAAATCCTATTGTGTTGTTATATGGAAAAATCTGTTCTAGCTGCTCAACATGCCCCCAAAACCTAAACATCAGAAGCTTGAATGTCTGATATTTGGGAAAGTTGTCGACAGTGATTATACACAAAAACATAGCCTAATTTGTCATAAAGATACAGTGAAAGTTAACCAGTCTGTTCGGTACAAGGTTCCTGGAGCACCAACTAATCCATTTGAGGTATTATATAAAGTATACTATATAGTCATAATGGCATATTCAAAATTCATTGATAATTTCTATGATAATTGATGTGACAAAGAGTTTCTGTAACTAGAAGAAAGGCACCCAACAAATTAAAGAGCATAAAACATTGGAAACAAATACTAAACATTTCACACAACAGAGTATTGTTAGTGGATGTGCAATTGACCGGGTGCACCTCAGTGCTCATTTACAAACTGTTGAAAACTGTTAAAATGCATCATTGACATAATATTGTTCTTTTCACAACAGAATCTAGCCTTCCATGGACACAGAGAACATAGCTGCTTGGGAAACTCCTTTGCGAATTAGGGCAATGTTTTGGAATTGTATAAACTACTGGAGTGATGTGATGCTGTCCTTGCAAACCATGTGTCGGCATAAAACATGAAGAGGTTTTATATGAGCCCAGAAATACAGAGTGACTTGATAAAATATATATCGAACCAAGTTCATGACTCAATTTTGATGAAAGTGATGGGAGCAAAGTACTATGTTTCGATAGCAGATGAAACAAAAGATCTTTCTTGTTTGGAAGAGTTTTCAATTTCAATGCACTTTGTGAACAAGGACTGCCAAGCAGAGAAGGCTTTTGTGTGGAAGTACAATCAACGACTGCAGAAAACATATAGAATCTCATAATTAAACAACTCCAAGAATGGGATATCCTGGTGCAACTTTGTAGTGGACAATGTTATCAAGGTTGTAACTACGCCACTGATACAGCATAGTATCATATGACTCACTTATAAAGGTTTCAACAGGTGAAGAGTAGTGACCTATTAAACCCATGCATTACATTACATTAACATATATATGTTATTTACAAAATACTAGGTAGGAAGTATTAGGCTATGACACAATAAATACAATTTGTTTTTTGTTTTTTTGGATTGAACACTGAAGTCTGTTAGTTAGGGTATGAATCAAAAACTTGCCTATAAGCAGTGTGTGTGTGTGTGTGTGTGTGTGTGTGTGTGTGTGTGTGTGTGTGTGTGTGTGTGTGTGTGTGTGTGTGTATGGTGGGGCACCCTTCCAAAAATAATAACCAAATCTCGACTAATATGGTGATGCTTACAGTATTTAATACAGGTTTTAGATTATTTGACCAGTTTTTGACTGATCAGTTGACTGACCTGCCAACCCTGTTTAGATTACATTAATGTAAATTCTTTACAGACACTAATTAGTTTATTGATACGTATAATAACATTTAAAGAATTTACATTGTAACAGTATAATAAACATGTTACAGTCTACATGCATACATTATTTTAAATGATAAATTAGTCTTTATGGAATGCATCCATATAAAACCAAAAGAACTAGTACCACTAATATCACCACTGTATTTGGTCTTTATATTGGTCATGCACACTCCACCGTTTCAACGTCTCATAGCCTAACACCACAAGAAATGAGAAGATACTACTCTGTACCAATCGTGCAGAGAGACCCTTGGTGAATATTCCAAGTCTTTCCTCCTTCCACAATAAACTGGAAGTTCCCAGAAAAGAGTCCATTCGCTGAACCTAAAGAAATAAAACAAGAGACTAATTATAAACTGTTGTTGAAACACCAAAAGCTATTAATTCGAACCATAAGAGGAAGCTACAAGTTAACCATAAAAATTCTTATTGCAACCACTAAATTGAATAGAAAATAAAACAAGGGTTTTGTAAAGACTATATGAGCAAAGTACAGAAGGCTGAACATAGACCACCTATGTTAGGTCTACTTTACACTTGTCACTGCAATTTTTTTTTTCTGATACACACCTGACAAAAAATACAGGATATGTATGGTTTATAATTGTATGTATTTATTTTTGTCAGTATTAGCAATTAATCATGGAATTATCAATTTTTTTAACCTATGCAATAACAATGCGACTACCAAAATTTGTTTAATAACAAGAAAATTCAACAACTATTAAAAAAAGCATTGAAAATACACATTTTATGTAGGCTGCAGGATCCAATGTCCGTTGGATGCTTAGTACAATTACTGATTCTAGTAAATTTCTCCACATCAAGTCCATTTAGAGTTGCAAATTTCGACAACTGGAAATAGCTGTCACTAACTAGAAAAGCTGGTATCAACACTGATTGTAATGTAAATACAATAAAAACTAGGCCTATTTTTTTTTACCACATTGCTAGAATCAAGACAGTCCTTATCTAAAGAGTTGTTATAAACCCAGCTAATGTAAAGTATAACTTACAAATACCTTCATAATACATTTTTTTGGGGTCTGGGAAATTTCCACTAAATTCACACAATAAATTACAGCATACTTTAAAAGAAAAGAGAAAAACAAAGCCAGAGTGTCCTTTTATTCAGGTACTAATGGCACAAGGGAACTTTCTCAAATGACTTATACTTAAGTTGCTCAAACTGTATGTTTGACTGGATAAGAAAATGTGTAAAATAATTTCTTAACTGCTGGGAAAGTTTTCTGCAGGAAACAGTGCAGAGGACAACAAGAATAATACCTAAAAAATTCCAGCTACAAATATAGGTTTCAAGATTCAAACTTATTTTACTTGTTACATAAAACCTAAGTTAGATTGATTCTCTTTTAAAACTTGTATAAACTTGAATAGTCTGCCTTTTGGAGGTGTGTTTGAGTGTTGGAACAAAGAGGTTAAAACTTGTGTAATGGCCCTCGGGAAAGTTGAAGCTTTGGAGGCCCATAGTGAAATGTGTTTTTCAGAAAAACTAGTGTTTAGTTAAAAACTTGTGAAATGGTTTGTCCAAAGATGTAATGTGTACTGTAAGTGTCTTTTACATATTTATTGGATAGCTAAATGAACTTGAAGGGCTCTGGTTAGTTTGATTGTGGATTGAGTAGTGCCCCGTTACCTTGATATATGAATACAATTACACTTACCTGTATTCTAGCCCTCACAATATCCAGAGGATTGGTAATGATACAGACACTAATCCCACTTATTGGTCCTGCCATGCAGTGAATTAGTACATGGGAAGTTGATGTAGGTAAATAGGATGCTAGCCACTCTACAGAAAAAACATAGAAGCTTACAAAACTTTAGAATCAGTGAAGAATTAATCATGTATGATGTAGGCTATATAACTTAGTGTGCATACAACTTTGAAATGAATTATTTGATGAAATTCAGATTGTACTTTTACTAGAAGTTAATACAAGTTGCATAATTAAAAATATTACTTATTGGTATAGCAAAAGTGCATAAATACATTTTTGTTTACTGATTAAGTATTTCAAATCATAAATATTTTGGACAAGGTGGTATTAAAAATATTCTGACCTGAGTATAAAGGATAAAACATCCACCAGAGGGCACTAGCAGGAACATATGTACAAACAGAAGCAAAATAGCCACGATAAAAACCTTTCATTCCATCTCTTCTATACAGTTCTTTTATAATTGAGAAAGCCACAGATTCCTTATGCTTGTGATTTAAGTTGATACTGAATGTGTGTGAAGTTTCCGTGAGCTTGATAACATTGTTACTTCTCTGTCCTAACATCATCATATGTTGAGACACCACGTCGAAAGGAGTGATGATTGTCTGTCCAACTAATGAACCACAACCTCCACCAATCAGTCCTTTTAGTCGTTTATCATCAATATTAGCATATTCTGTCAGAAGATGGCGCACCTTTTCATACGTTGTAATATAGCCTACACCAGAAACTATTTGGATGGTGTTGATCCAGAACCCTTTATACAACCCATGAAAACCTTCATAACAAAGTATTTTCTTAAATGCATCATACGTTCCTCTGTACATGGCATGATGTTTCTGAATCTGAAGACGTGTTTTAATGACAGTAAATGGATACAAAGTGGCACGAAGGAAAAATGAATTGACAAGATTGAAAGAGAAGAATCGACTTTTATCCATCATATGCCATTCAATAGTCAAAATGCGTGAAGGTTCCATTTTGTATTGTTTAAGAGCCATATTAAAAATAATTTTATAAATCTTTAATCTCAAGATCGAAGAACACTCTTAATTTTCCAGCTTAACAGTAGTTGAAAGTTATTTTTTCCTTCGTCAGACATCGTTCCCAGTATGTCTCCGAAATATTAATCACTTTAAACTTTATTTACAATGTACAATTTTTTAGATCATACCTGTAAAAGAAAAAAGAAATTACGGAACTTTCTTCAATGAGAAGGTATATAAAAAAAAAAAACAACAACAACATATGCTGAGAAGAATTTTCAATTTGTGCTAATAATCATACGCTGCCAAATCTTGTATGTTTTGGATAAGACAAAGATAATTTTACAATAATTGACCCGATATAAAACTACATAACAACCACAACTCTTTAAAACAAATATTATGCAAGAAACATAGATATCTTATATATATCTAGTCCTTATCTCTCAATCCTTTAACAATTAAGTTTGATGATTGTGCAGGAAAGAATACTCGACCATTTTATACAATAATTTCGTCAATTCTTGTAAAGATTTTGAATTACAGTTTGGTGTCTGTTTTTGGCATATGTTTCCCATTTTCCAAGACTATGACTATGTCATCAGGTGCCATTTGGACTTGAGGAAAATCAGTCTTGGCAACATTCACCTCCATGTTGTAATCTTTTAATTGTCATATAGCTAATTATTTTTAAGTAAGTTTCTTATGGAGTAAAGACCCCTTTACAATATTATACAAATTGAGAAAATTGATATCAATTATATTTGAAACCACACACATGATATCAGAAGAAAAGCATCACAAGTTTGCTTTGAGAACTGATCTTGAAATTTGTAACATCACAAAAACAAATATTCCTTAGTAGTTGCAATTACTTTGTAGGAGAAGAGTATGATAGTATTGCCCCTTCTGTATTTTCTGTATATTTCAGTGGACTGCCTTCTTAAAGAATAACTCTATCTTTAAGGTTATCTGTCAATATTATCTGCAAAATAAATTAATTGTCTTGCTAAAGCAGTTTCTGTATACATTATAATAATTTAGTCATCTTGTATCTGACTATGAGAAGCTTATACATCTGTGTGGAAATGCCTAGAGCCAGCTTCAGTTATTTAAGGAAAACTGCTGATGGATATGAAAATAAAGATAAAAGAATAAAACTGAATTATTTGTAAGTTATTTAAATATGGCATGGTGGTAATGACAGTGTCAGATAGAACAATGAGAGGGTGAACTTTATGAACAGTTGCAAATCTTATTACAAATACAGCATGCAAGGTTTTAAAACATTCAGTATATGTCGTCACTACTATGAAGACAGTAATAATAGAAATTCAGTAGCATGTAACATCCAAGGTCTATGGTGTTTTGAATTCATTCAGCCAAGATTCATTTCAAGACTGTTTGTTAGTATCCTATTCAAAGCAAATGCTCTTGATTGATTTAGAAAGGTTAAATAATTGCTTGAAAATGTTATTTTACACACTAACATTATAATTTTTGTAAGCAATTATGACAATGAATAGGATTTGTTTGTTTTTTATCTGCAAACAATTCCTTTTGATTTGAATAATTGTGTCTAGGGATAAAGTGCATTCCTACAGAGGTTTACTGATTTGGATATTCCAGAAAAATTACAAAAGATTTAGGAATAATTCTTTCTATGGTTAGTACAGGGGAGGACTGAAGTAATTGAATGACATATGAAAAGTGTTATCCAGTGTTAATTAACTGCCCTGTTCTCTTCTTCCATAACATACATTCAAATTATGACTACCCAGATGTACTACCTTGCATTTATTATAATTAAAAGCTATCTGCTATTCAATTGCCCAATACTCCAATGAATCTAATCCCTTTTGTAAAGTAGCAGCATCCTCACAGCCAGCAATGCCCAAGACCTTAATATCCTCATGTGTTACTTAGTGCTATACAAGTGCCCTGTTCAAGCAATAATAATTTAATATGCTTGTTCAATTTTAACCCATTCCTAATAAATAAAGTCCATGGTAGTTGGTACTACCATTGGTAGGTTGATAGGCAGATGACTAAATGCTTAACTTAGGCTTAAAAACTGTACAGCATAATTGTTAAGGCTATTAAGTATCATCCTGTTAAAAGATAAAACCTCACATAAGGAATCTTAACAATACACTACATCTACACAAATATTTCACAAGAAAATGTATAAAATAGCAAATGATAATCATGCACCTACTGATTAATAAAACATATAAAATATTTAACTAGGCCAATGTGCAAACGAATTTCTACTGTAGAGCACCATGCATCATACACAGATTGTATATATATATATATATA